CTAACTATTTCAACCGTTTATTCATTACTTTTAACTAACTATTTCAACTGTTTATTCATTACTTTTAGCTATTTCAGCAGTTTATTCGTTACTTTTAGCTAAATATTTCAACTGTTATTCATTACTTTTAGCAGTTTCTGCAGTTTATTCATTACTTTTAGCTAAATATTTCAACAGTTTATTCATTACTTTTAGATAAATATTTCAGCCGTTTATTAATTACTTTTAGCTAAATATTTCAACAGTTTATTCATTACTTTTAGCTATTTCAGCAGTTTATTCATTACTTTTAGCTAACTATTTCAGCTGTTTATTCGTTACTTTTAGCTAAATATTTCAACTGTTTATTCATTACTTTAGCAGTTTCTGCAGTTTATTCATTACTTTTAGATAAATATTTCAGCCGTTTATTAATTACTTTTAGCTAAGCATTTGAACATTTTATCCATTACTTTAAGCTATTTCAACCGTTTATTCATTACTTTTAGCTAACTATTTCAACTGTTTATTCATTACTTTTAGCTAACTATTTCAACCGTTTATTCATTACTTTTAACTAACTATTTCAACTGTTTATTCATTACTTTTAGCTATTTCAGCAGTTTATTCGTTACTTTTAGCTAAATATTTCAACTGTTTATTCATTACTTTTAGCAGTTTCTGCAGTTTATTCATTACTTTTAGCTAAATATTTCAACAGTTTATTCATTACTTTTAGATAAATATTTCAGCGTTTATTAATTACTTTAGCTAACTATTTGAACATTTTATCCATTACTTTAAGCTATTTCAACCGTTTATTCATTACTTTTAGCTAATATTTCAACTGTTTATTCATTACTTTAGATAAATATTTCAACAGTTTATTCATTACTTTAGATAAATATTTCAGCCGTTTATTAATTACTTTTAGCTAAATATTTCAACAGTTTATTCATTACTTTTAGCTATTTCAGCAGTTTATTCATTACTTTTAGCTAACTATTTCAGCTGTTTATTTATTTTAGCTAAATATTTCAACTGTTTATTCATTACTTTTAGCAGTTTCTGCAGTTTATTCATTACTTTTAGATAAATATTTCAGCCGTTTATTAATTACTTTTAGCTAAGTATTTGAACATTTTATCCATTACTTTAAGCTATTTCAACCGTTTATTCATTACTTTTAGCTAACTATTTCAACTGTTTATTCATTACTTTTAGCTAACTATTTCAACCGTTTATTCATTACTTTTAACTAACTATTTCAACTGTTTATTCATTACTTTTAGCTATTTCAGCAGTTTATTCGTTACTTTAGCTAACTATTTTAACAGTTTATTCATTACTTTTAGCTATTTCAGCTGTTTATTCGTTACTTTTAGCTAAATATTTCAACTGTTTATTCATTACTTTTAGCTAACTATTTTAACAGTTTATTCATTACTTTTAGCTATTTCTGCAGTTTATTCATTACTTTTAGTTCCACAGTGGAGGGCTCAGAAATCAAAGTCCCAGTCACCTTTAGTGACAAGTCAAGATTTTCAAACCATAATGACACAGTAAATGCTACGTCATAGATGATATGCCACCAGTGCAAGTATGTGTAGTACCTATGTGTCGTATTTTACAGCACTGTGGAAACGTTATGGATAAATTAAAACGTACCTGTGTCAAAGTAAAGACACCACAATATAGATCAGGCACAGCTGTCCCAGATCCTAGAGAGAAGAGCTTACAGTCTACTGTGCATCTGCATACTCATTCAAACAACTCTAGATTCTTAGATTTTCCTCACAGAGCATTACACATTGCTGTCAATCAGCCTCCTCTTCCCCCAACACTCCATCCTCTGTGTGCACTAAAACGAGGAGGAAAATTTATTCATGACACCCGGCATCTAAAACCAGTATTTCTGACTGATTCTGATTCACAGGAATGAGGGGATATTATTAGACTCACAACTATGCCCTAATGGGGCAACATTTTCATTCCCAATTTGAAATCGCACCCACAGCTCTCTCTCTCATTTCCACAGTAGCTACTGCTTCTGAGCCTGGTAAGGTTATGTCTGTCACTTTTTGCCGGACACAGCTGTGAAATGTGACATTGTGGATCGGTTAGATGATGCATTCGGTAGAAGGCTGGCTATTATACAGTAATTACACACGTCTTTGACAACGTGATAGGAGTGAATCATGGAGTTTCATAAGCCCTCTTGAGTCCTGCTGCAGTGACATGGCAGATTTACTATGATAGTGTTTGTTAGAGATAATTAGTCATTCAGTCATTACTGAACCATTACTGACAGTCATTCTGTCTTAAGAGGATCATGAATTAGCTTGTGGGTGAGATTCTTGGAAACCACACAATCATTTGATGTAACCTGATATAACACCATATATGGATGAAATGTCATGATGTCAGCTAAGTGAATCCATTTCAGGCCTCAGTTCAGCAATAAAGATGTACTACAGCAATTTAGTATTGCACTAGCACGAGACTCCTGACTTGTTCCCAAGTATGGGTCAAGTTCTGAAATCGCTGGATTCTACGACTCCAATAAAGCAATGCAAAAGCATCTTTCATTAGACTTCTCCCTGGTAAACGCCGACATCTTTCGAACTCCATGCCCCAGTTTGTAACACAGATTTAATGTTATAAATTTGTAATCTCCAAATCCAAGCCGATGACTTCACTAGGGTTTTTTTTCCTCAGACTTCAGAAAGCTCCTTTCAGAGCCAGAGATGATATCATACAACAGTTTTCAAAGCCTGAGTAGTACTTAACTCCCCACGACCAACAAACTGAACGCAATGTCTGTTTAATCAACATGCAGTCAACTCAAAGAAGATAGTTTCTTGTAGACACCAATGATTGCAGGTGGAAACAAGTGAGTACTTTGTTATTCCTCTTTATCCCCAATGGCACATGGGGGCGCAAAGAGATTTTCTACAAACAAGTGTGTGCCAGCAGAAATATGCATGAAAACATGTGTTGCTCTGGGAACAGTGAAATGAATATGATAACACTGACAAGAATATCGTAAACTGAATTAAGCTTTTTATTAAGCCTGTGGATCAAGTGACATTGCAGGATAAGTCTGTCAAAATTCTATATTTTTAACATAACTTGTCAACAAATCCCACGCAAAGACCAAACCAACACTAAATTGATCCTACTAATTAGAATTGTCTGTGTCCAATGCCTGATTTAGCTCATTTTTCTGTACCATCGTTTTCCAAAAAACGAATGGAAAAATATCAATGTGAAACTTGGTTGCACTGGGTTCATTACCATGAACACGGTCACTGTGGCCTGTTTATGTCAATCCTATGTACTGCATCCTGCTGTCATAGATATTTGCTAGTACATCAACTCAGCAGCTGAAAATAGTCCAACAATTGTTCAGCTGTTTTTTAAGTTACTCAGCCTTTAAAAACGAAAGTATATATGTGTGACCTCTTAAAAATAAAAAGGCATCAGTGTGAAAAAATGGGCTTTCATGGGTACCATCATGGAACATGGTTCAATATGGAAACCAGTTGAAATCACATTGAAAGCTTTCAGCAGTTGTGTTGGTGGATTTCTTCAGAGGCTCTTGTAGAGGAATAAAATGTCCTGCCATTTGCTCCAGTGGAGCAGCTCAGCAGCTCTGCAGTTGTTCCAAAGTGTAAAATGTGTGCAACTGTACACCTGTCAAGCAAGGTGCACCAAAAAACAGCAATCTCAGTCAACTTTACCCAGTAATTATTTAAAGGTATAAATTAACACAACGAAAAGACTGGATGGGTGTCGGCGTATGAACACAGCATAATCTATTTCCATTATCAGCAATGAGGTTTTCAAAATGTTGCTGCCACGAGAATATTTATGAAGTATCTATTGGAGTGCTACCAAGCAACACAAATGTGTAAAGCGCAGCCCAGTGATAAATAATCCAAAGCTTGCAGTGGATGAGGGAGACAGTGAGTGAGCCATGTCGCTCTTCACACAAAAGCTATTTTGTTTTGCTCTCAAACAGAACTCAGACACTGTGGGTGGAGAAAATCAATCTAGTCAACCTAGCGAGACAGAAGAAATGAGAACCGTGAGAGGCTTTGATTATTGTGATGGACTTATGTCAGCTCTGCGAAAGCCACTTGATATGTCTCTGCTGTTTATCAAATCAGAATTGCATTTGCATCACATTTTCCTGCACTTGTGGCTGCTTGGAAGGAAAATTAGTAGAGGAAACCGGTCCCGCAGATTTTCAAGAATTTGACATTTTGATGAATAGATGTATTTTCACAGATGCCACAATTCAATCCGAAAGACACAATTAACTGAATTGCAGCCGTCAAGAGCAAGAGCATCAGTGAGTCAACAGAGCTGTCTGGGACAGATAGCCTCTGTCTGCAGGGCTGCGCTTCTTTTCAGCAGCTGAGGGAAAAACTCACAACAGTATTAACAGAAGCAGCAGATAATACAGAATTAAGATGACTGATGCCTTGTATTTCAGACCAAGCTCGCAGTAAAACACCAACCATGTCCATAGCAACCATTCTGTGCGAGTGTTCAGTCAAGGTCCCTCAAAACAAAGCACGTGGCAGCCCATTCTACAATAACTTGAATCTGCCAAGTTGTCTTGCAGCCTCCACTATTCAACACGCAGCTGCAAAAGTATTGGTTGCCTTGACAAATAAACACAGGCTTCTGGTGCATATAGGAGAAGGCTTAAGATTACATATACTATGGATGATGGCTCAATGTTATGTAATGATGGGATGATGGGATGTGCATAGGTTAATGTTTGAGATCCTAGATGAGACAGGTGCAGTGTAGGAAAGAAGCTTATAACTACTGTAAAAGGCAGAAAGACACAACTTTTTTGGTTTTCAATAACACCTGTGTGCTCAGTAGATGGTGCTACTTATCTCTGGAGAAGGGTGCCCATTTCATTAAACATGTTCAGTTCAAAACAATAAAAACCAAAGTAGCCTTGATGCCACAGGGAGATGTTTCAGAGACAAGCCCACAGGTTATATTTAAACGTTTTTTTTATTCAATAGATGTAAATAAGTTCTTAACTGCAGCACAGTGTCTACTTACAAATATAACTGAATCACCCTAATACAATTTCAGAGATGTTCTGAATCTGAACCAGAAGGAAAAACCGTCTGCATTAAACCCAAGTATCAACAGAGCATTCATATGCACTACTTTGCATATAATGCCAGCATGTTACATAACAATTTGACAATTGATTTGCAGAGGGCTTTTCTAAAGGATTGGCACTCCGGTGGCTTAATGATTAAGGATCCCCAAATCTGACATCATACACTCAGGACATCCACATGATTTTAAACAGGGACTTCAGAAAAAATACACCAACCATTCACTCCACCCTGATAAAAACACCAAAACATTAAAAAAAAAAACAACATTTATATGCACATCAAAAGGAAGGCTTTTACACTTTGTTGTCATCTTATTATTTGTCATTTTCAGGAAAGCAAATTTAAAACCATAACAAGTTAGTTTCTCTATAAATTAATTTCTTCCACTGACACACACGCCTACACTTGGATATAACTTACTGATGTGTAAGCAAAACTTGAAGGATCTACTGCACAAAAGAGAGAGGCAACATTTGTGGCTGATTTGCTGTCTCATAGCTGCAGTCAAAGCTGTCAATATCAAATTCAACTTCTCAAGGTTAATGAGTGACCCATAAAATAGTTGTAACATACCGCTGTGTGCGTTTTCAGGAATGTGTATGTCTGCATCATTAGCAAAGCTTCTGTGTTAGTGGAGTGTGTTGGGCTAGCATGTGATTCGCGTAGCAGCGAAAGGTGGGTGAGGTCAGGGGCTGTGGCTGTGGCGTGGCTCAGTACGGGACTCTGCTGTGGCCTCAGCCTCGTGGTGCATTTGGCTGAGGTGTTTGACAAGGCTTTCCAGTTGAGGGTTTCCCCCAAGCTCCCCGATGAGGCGGTAGGCCTCCACTTCCAGGTCCCGCAGAGTCTGACGGGTGTAGGCAAACGAGCCTACCTTCTCCAGGTAGTCCACACAGTATCGTTTGATGTCCATGTTCTCTGTGCGCTGCCTCAGGATGTTCTGCACCTGGGTGCTCTCCGGACGCGACCATATGGCATGAATGGTGGGAAAAGAGAACTTGCCCTCGGTCAGGTCCTCACAGAAGCTCTTATTCTCGCTGTACTCATGAGAGCTGAGGTTGGCGTAGTCGTCGCGGATCTGGAAGAAGAGGCCCAGCGTGTCCAGGAGGGGTTTCAGGTCCTGTTTCCAATCCGAGAAGAGCTGCATCAGGCCCACGGCCAGGCCAAAGAGCCCTCCAGTTTTCTGCAGCACCATGTTGCGATACTCCTGCTCTGTGGGACAGGTGTAGGTGTCCCTCCAGTGGATGTCCAGGCCCTGACCACGGTGCAGCTCCAGCAGCTGCTGGGTAAACACTTGGACAGCCTCAGGGTGATCCAGGGTCAGCACCTTCTCCAACCCCAAAAAGTAGACGTAGTTGGCCGAGTTGATGACGGAGGGAATGCCATAGATGCTGTGGGCCACGGGGAAGCCTCGCCGCAACTTGGAGCTGTCCTCGATGTCGTCTATGAGCAAGCTGGCGTTGTGCAGCATCTCTGTCACTGTGATAATCACCTGACACAAACAAAATGATTATTAAATTACATGATTATGCAGAAATGACAAATGCATAGTTTGAGAGTGAGTGTGACAATCATATGAGCTTTTCAATTTCATAGTATAGAACACGTTTTGATGTTTTGCTGTACTAACTTTCGGGAATAATGATACTTAAACTGAGAAAACCCTCACCCTTCTCTTGACTAGAAACACAGACAGTCTGAAGCTCTATGTAAATGATGCATTACAACTTGTATACAGCAGAGGGTGCCATGTCAATACTCTTGCCTGCACTGCTCCACTAGTGGATCATCAGCAGACAGAATAGTTGTTGCTGAAACTAACCAGGCAGTCAGAGAGTTCAGCAAAAACACACTCTAGACTGGGACCGTTTCAGATTCAGAGATTGATAGGACTGCTGTTGATGTTACCTGGTCTGCTCTGAAACTCCGAGGTCGTGCCTGAGGGAGAGCAACAGTGGCTCGATGAGTTTAGAGGATTCACATTGTTAAGCAATTACATGCAACACCACAGGGCTTAGCACACTTTTGCCTCCTCTAAAGAGAGAATGACCTGGGCTTAGTACAGAGCCATAAGTGATGAGTGTATTGACAAGCTCCAACAGCTTTACTGTATTAAAGCCTATATCAACATTAACACATATGCACAACTGCGGTGAGTCAAGACTTATAGCAAACCGTCCTCTGTCCATCAGGAGGAGCCTTAACCTGACAACCAAAATGGCTTTATTTCACATCCATGTTCAACACAAAACAGCCGGGGTTACTATCAGGTGTCTGCTGTCTTGGTCTCGCTGTGCAGCCTGCTGGAGTGCTCTGCTGATTTAAAAGACAAGTGGTGTGGCCTGGTAATGAAAGCTGTTTGTATGGGGCTGGGGAGCACAAAGAGAGGCTCAGTGGGTCAGGCAGATGGCCAAGGCTGGGCCAGTTGAGCAGTTTATCCGCCAAACACAACCTTTCCTGTGGCAGGGTCTCGACACTCGCTCACCCTGCAACCTCAGTGAGCCACTTACAAGAGAGGGGGGAGGGGGAGGGGTCTGTGGGTAAAGGTACAATGAATGCTCACATGAACGACAAAATGGAATATTATGCAGCCAAAAACACCCTCATGGAGTCGATGGTTCATTGCAAACTGACTGTTCTCTCTGTGAAGTACAATTCCATGTCATGACAAAGGAACAAGGGGACATTCAAGACAAGACTTAAAATTCATGTAAACAACAGCGTCAGATACCAACAGCAGCTATGAAACCCAAACACAAAAAGTTTTCCGATTTTGGACATAGGTGTGTCTGCGTTCTCCAAGGATTCTGATTAGTCAGCCTGTCGCTGTATAATGCTGCTGTCTAAGTGCCAAGTGCCTCCACAAGACTTCATTGATTATCACCAGAGGTTACTGACCCAGAAACTCAGTGTTTGCCGAAGCTACAATCGGTGATCCATTAAGAACGCAGAGATTCCTTCACAACAAACGAGTGCATTGGGACCAATACATTGAGGGTAAATAACTATGAAACAGACAAGTGAGTTATGTGCACCCATAAACCTGTCTCACATAGAGACTACAGTAGGTGCTAACCACGGCAAGTACACCTGAGTCAGACTGCAGGACTGTTAGAAGTCTTGCCAAGGTTTTAACATGGCCATACCAATTTTTGGAAGATGCTCAAGAAGTCACAGCATAATCTTAATCCTCGATTTAGGCCTATGTTTTGTTTTTTTAAATTGTGTTGTTCCTTGATTCCGTATCCCATCAGTTTGTCCTCACAATTTCCCACAAAGTGGATAATAGAGCCCGCAACTAATCAACTAACTTACAATACAGGCATTTCTTGCAGTGTTTTATAGACATGGTGGCGCACCTTCACTGTCATCGTACAACATTAATACACTTATGAAATCACACATTAACATTTAGAGAAAAGAACAGACGAGCTATTTCAGCAAAGGTCATATATTTAATAAGTGTGGCTATTGCTTAGGCTGTCATCTAGCAACTGAATTGATCACGAGATGAGATGTGTCAGGGTCTGCTGCAGCTAAACTACTTCCTGGGAAAAACCCTGCAATACAAATGTACTGTCTAGCCTGATCCAGACTTTACTGCAATACAATCTGCTGTTGTCACAACCTCTTATCTGCTCGATGTAATGATAACCCTCTAATACATAACAGGTTGTAGCCAGAAATTTCACCTGTTAAATAGGAATTACTGTTGTAACACTGTCCCACAGTTATGAGTTGCTACACATATTTGATATGCTAACCTGCAACCCAGTTCTAGTATCACTCTGCATCCGTCATGTTAAAACCTACTAGTACCTCAGAGCCCGAGGCAGCAGACATTCTCATGAAAGACACATGTTTTCAAAGTGAGAAAATAGTATATAAAAGCTAACCTTTCGACATTGTCACAGAGAACAGGAGGAAGCCAGTCAGCTAAAGGTCGCAAGGTAACCGATGTGAACAGGGGGAATTTCCTAAACCTCCGCAACCTGTGCTGTACTACACTGTAGAGAAGCACATATGGGGCTTTGATAAAAAATTCATTGCCAAGTGAATGAGACATTGTCACTGCCTCCATCTATCTCAAGGCACGGTTGTTTCCATGGCGGCGACTTCTTGGCAGCAGTGTGCTAATGGTGATGAGAGGAGTCTGCATGATGGGTTCAGCAGGAGTTTATAGAGCTGCTGCACGGGGGGGGGGGGCAGAGGGAGTCATAGGGCAAGATTATCCTTTGATATGTGAGGTAAATTTAAAACCTCAACTACCCGCTGTACCGTAACAAGGCCATTCTGTCTGAAGTGGAATTATCGGGAGAACAAAAGTAGATTTGGTTTCAATCTGCATATGAATGTAGGCCAAATGAACTGCCAACTAATCGACATCAAAAGCTGATCAGTCAAACTCAAAACTCTAACATCAGTGTAGCTTTAACGAGCCTATGTGCACCTGAATTGAATATGGCAGCACTACATCAATCAAGGAATGCAGCAGCATGTAATGTAAAAATAATAATAAACGCCACTTTGAATGTTGAGTCGCTCCTTTTATAAAGACATACAGCCCACAGTAATAGTAGCAGTGTGAAAGCTGTGATTAAATACATCTCCACGGATGCAAAGTGTGAGATGGATACTGTAGCAGGGGGAGGGCTGACATCACAGGATTGAGCTATAATATTCAACAACTTTATTACTCCTCCACAGGACTTTTATTGTGCACTGGAAGATGAAATGGCCACAGGAGACACCAGTCTGACCTCTGAGCTTCGCTCGGGGTGGGGGACTGTTGAACAGCAAACCTAATGAGACCTGACAGGCTCAGCACTTAGCATTCTGCACTGCGAAAGGCATATAGATTCAGAAAACGCAGCTTAGTCTCCATATCTTCATCAGTGGACACAGAACCGGTATTCAGCCACAACAATGCTAATGCAATCAGTATAATGAGGCCAATGGCCTCCACTCCCTAAGCGGACAGTGGTGAGGGTGCTGCTCAATAAAGCAAATACATCCTAACTGGCTAATTTAAAATTAATCTGACTAAGGAAAAGCAGAAATGCCATTCAGCCTGCTATCTGTATATACACTCCAATATGTCTGTTGCAATCTAATCAGCCAGCATCCAAGAATGTGTTAAAACTCTGCTATGGATGAGTGGAGGTGTACGTTTGCCTGGGAAGCTAACTGAGACTTGAATCTTGTTAATCCTTTGCTCACAGGGGTGATCAGGAACCCAAGAAGTTAAAAAAGAAGCAGTAGTCTCTCACTTGAGATGAATGTTGGTCCAGCATGTCTTACAATACACAATCAATCCCTAAAAATGCTGCTTAATAGTTCGTTGTCACTATCATTTACAGCACCATCTGGAATACACTACACAATAAAACAATTAGCTACCATGGCCTAAGTGCTGTCATTCAAAAAGCACACACACTCACATAGATTTGATGACTAAGACAGTGTGCTGCCTTCCATTATATCTCACTTCCCAAATAAAGTGTTACATGCATTTTATCATGCAATATTAGCATACAATAAACAAAAGGTAACTATCCCCATCATATTCAGGAATCCTGGGGAAACCCCTGGGTTAGAATCAACAGTTACTGCGACTCTTGCAGTTATTACCATCAATTTAGTGTCTTCCTTTTTCCATCCAACTTTAAAAGAGAAATCTAATGTGACTAGAGGAAGAAAAAAACTCAGTGCTTTAGAGTCTGGGAATCAGACCAGTTTCTCAGAAATTGGCTTGACAACGGCTCACGTGCAGTCAGTTAAAGTGCTTAGTGATTATAATATAAAGACCACAACTCACTGGGAAATCTTGCTTTCACTCCAACCAGAAACAGCACTCTCTGGTTAGAAACGCAGGGTGATAGACACCATGCCTTATAAAAGAGGCTTTTCAGGTACAGATGGGATTCATGCCGGAATCTATTCAAACTGATTTTTATTAATTTCAGATGATGTGGAGTAAGAAAGGAAGGTGGCAGATGACAACATTCAAGAGAAAAAAGTTGAACTAGTTCATCTGGCGAGTCGAGTAGTAGTAGGAGGGGTGGGGGTGGGTGTCACATGACCAGCATGTACATAAAGACAAAGACATGAGCACCAAAACAGGAAATAGAAACTGATATGAATGAAAATACAGTGAATTGAATTCAGTAAATAATCACATACACATTTAGGTGCAAATAATGTGCAAAAGATTAGAAAAATGAATTTGTGTAGATAAAGCCTGTGTTGTTTTTTTTGTTTTTTTTTAAAAAAGGTATGGATTTTTGCATCAGTGTTATTCATCTTTATGGATATGGTAAAAAACAGTTTTTGTCAAGTTTATTTATACGGCACATTTCATATGACAGGCGCAGACTCAAGTCTAGGCGGCAGGTATTCATGGATTTGAAAGCCTGTGACGTGTTTCTGCTGTATAGTGCTTAATTTTGTTTAGTTTAGTTTGTACTGTACCCATCAATAGCTGTTTCTTTTTTTTACTTTCTTTTAAAGAATTTTGATAAATGTTCTCTAGTATATTATTAAATAATGTTATTAATGTGCCAGCTGAGCAGTGTTAAAGCTGTGAGTCATGAGTGGACAACTTCAAATGAAACAGTATAAACAGCAACCTTGTCAGAAATGGCGAATAGAATGAGAATAATAAGCCAAGGTGTTATGAATACATCCGCAGTAGGTGGGACTTTATCCGTAAATAGAATGATACCATACAATTAGACATTACTAACCACTGGACATAAATGTAACTCAGATGAGATGATAATGTTGGTCCATGTCTGATGGATGTTTAAGTAAACATCTGTTTCAGTAATCAACATGTTTTAGAGTTATTCTGTCCCCCCCGCTAGTTTAAAATTGTTTGATGCAGCTTTAGCATTTAGGCCAAGATTTCCTTACTTTAGACAAGATCTTAAACGCACTGCAAACAAAATGCTTCCAACTTCAAAAGATTCCTGAAATCAGTAAGGGAAAGCTGCATTATTTAACCTACAGATCAAACAAATGTATGTACAGAGCCGTTTTGTTTTTGAAGGTGTCGCTCCACCCTTTTCATTTCATTCCACTTGATCCTCAGATGCATTAAAACCTTCTGTAATAAATCATAGATGCTCTGTGCTCTACATCCAAAGCCTTACATTCAGTTAGAACAACTGAGCTGACAGAACATTCATTACACTGGTTGCATTACAAAATAAACTGCCAATGCAGAATGAGCACAGCATCATTTCACCTTCCTGGACCCGTCTACTACAATAAACACGAGGCCTGAAATGGCTGATTTCTCACCTGCAGTTTGTCGTCTGGAACATTGAGCCAGTGGTTAAATGCTTGGGACAGTTTTGTCCTCACCTGCTTTCCTGAGAAGAGAGCGGAAAACAAAAGTTTAAGTGTTTTAAATATGTCTGTAGTATGCAAAGGAAAAAGATCACAATGAGCTCAGTCTACATTAAAAATGGGCTTTGGTGTTTAGGCTTCACTGAGATTAGCATTTTTCCCCACCTTGTGTTGCTGATATTTGAAAATTCACACTTTGCTATATTAACACAGCTGGTGCATGCATGGTTGCTACATATTCCCATTCTTGTTGTCATAACTTCATCTAATATAAATACAGTATGACGTAGGGCTGGGCAATAAAACAATAATGATAATTATAGCATAATATAATTTCCCTCAATAACAATATAATGAATGTTCAATATATCGTCAATAAATATTTGCTTTAATTCATTTGAATCACAAAACAAATTAGCACCTAATTTTTCTATTAAAATATTTATTTTGTTGAAAAAAAAAAAAAGAAAAAAAAAGAAAAAAAGAGGCCTGAAAAAAGATTAACTAATCATATTTGTTGAAAAAGATAATAGTTTTAAATGTTCTAACTCAGACTTGAAGTGATCCACTGTTTGGCATTATGTGTTTGTCACATTCTGACCATAAAGAAAAGTTTAACCACATAATTAACCTGGTTTCTTCAATTTTCAATCAGGAGCAAAAATCAGCCTTTAAACTTGAAAGAAATAATTATTTGACATGTATCATGATAATTATCGATATCAAATGATATGAAATGTTTTTATCGTGATAACATTTCTGGCCACATCGCCCAGCCCTAGTATGAGGTCAGACTGATTACACTCTCACTATTGACATAGACCAAGAAATAGCTTTATAAGAGAGTCCAAACAGACCAGAAATATTCTAAAATAACATATTTTAAAATATAATCAAGCAGTTATTTAAAGTAGAGCTGAAAAAAAAAAGAAAAGTAAGTAATATTATTGCGCTTATTTTGACTAAAATTGCAATTGTGGTAAGATTTGCGATATTAGAGGGAATGATCATTTTTACATAATTCTTCTCATTTTCATTGAAAAACCTATTTATGTTGTGATTTTCGCAAAGACAACATAATTTTCAGTTTCTGTATCACTGATCGAAGCGTCCAGCCAGGTTTCTGAAAAACACACAATCCCAACTTTACTATTACACATCATCAATCTTATCTAATTTGGAAAGAAGACCGCGAACATTGAGGTGCATAATGTGTAGACCTTTAGTGAAACTGAAGTCCAGGATCGGTGTCTCTGCTTGTAGCTTTTCCACCACGGAAGAGCCAGCATGAGTCTGTGCAGACCTCTCTGTGTGTCCCCTGCTGTCAGCTTCCGACTGCAGACCGCTCCTTTGGCACAGCCTGTCCGATGGTAAAGAAACCCCCCCCCACCAGGGTTGCTTCTCCTGAGAGACGGGGATCTGTTTCTGCTGTGCTGTCATATCCATTGTTGCTCCCACAGAGAAGTGTTCTCTGTTCAGATGCTTGCTGGCTCGTCGTTTTAACTTCTCTTCTGACTCCGTTGCCACACACCTGCCGTCCGACACACCCCCTTTCCGCAGCCAGCTACCCTCCATGCCCGCCTTAAAATCTCTAATTCTCCAAGATTGATTTTCTGGCCCAGGGCACTGATGATTGTCTCCCGATAACAAAAGGCTATGATCAACTTATCTCTCCTGCATTCTCTTTGGACAATGCCATGCACGCATTTGTTTGCTGAGGAGTGCCTCCAAAAACTCATGAGGATTGCATTTCGTCCAGAACCTAAAATCTTGCAAATGCCAAGCGTTTTTTGATCATATAGGCCATATATTGCAATTTCAATAAGATTTTGGTTTAATGTTCAGCCCTAATTTAAAGGTTGACAATTTACCCCCAGTTAATCCATTACCTCAGTTTTTTTTTTTGTATTGCAGAGCCAACTGCTAACATGCAATACAGACTGAGCACACACAAACACACTCCGTTTAGGTAACTGTGGAGGTGACTTGGCTAGAATAACTGAATCAAAAAAGTCAAATAATTAAAGCAAAGAAGGCTCTGTAGCTGGCCTAAATCAAGCACAGGAAGTGTTCTGTTGTTTAAAGAAAAAGTTTAAAGGCCTGTTATCTGATTGCTCACTCCAACAATCTTAACACAGACTGGTGTGAGTACAAATTTAAGCAATAGATAGATATATTTATCAGGTACACAGCTTCTTCAGTGTCTCAATCTCTGTAACTTACGTCACCCACGTAATATACAAGACAGCATAGAACATCACCACATTGGAAGAAACATTCTCTACAGTAATGTTACTTACTACGGTCTACCTTTTATAAAGTGTATCAACAATCTTGTTTGTACCAACTGTTTCATTATCATCCAGTACATTTAGCTGTGCTCACATTGCTGAGCCTCCGATGAAAGATACACAGTAACGTTACTGAAAAGTGGCAGACGAGCTAACCCTGATGAATAACCTCGGCTAAATGCAGTAAATGTAACATTTTCATGTTGTGAGCATGGATTAATTCAACCTCAAGCTGATAAAATATATTACTGTAACATTGCTGTTGGAGTTTATCTGAGTTCCCAGCATGTTGTGTGAAGCTGTGTCCTTTTTTGTTTATAGCTACTGTCACACTGCCTTTTTTTCCTGGGAGTACTGTTCCAATATGCTGGCTCGCTGCACTGTATGACCTTTTTATATACAGTCTACGTGTATGACGCGGGAACGTTGAAGTAACAGAGCCTGAACATGTCTGTGTGAAAAGCCACCGTCGGCATGCTGATGTTTCCGTGTTGATTGCAGGATCTCTGTATGAAAGCGGTTATTTTTCACATTATGCTTGCTCATGAGTTCAGGCGAGCACGCGTAGGAGCACACACCTGCTTGCCATCTTAAAACCACACTACTAGTGGCGGCTGAAAACTCCATAATGCCCCTTTAATGGGAAAGCCTTCCAGTAATGTTGCAACAGAGGAAACATCCCAACTAACTGAAACTCCAAGGACGTACTGTTCACCCAAATACAATTCTGGAGTTAGGGGAGTCACTTCTTCACTGACAAAAAGTGGCCAATCAAAACCATATAACTTAGGCATTAATAAAATAACATCTTTAACATAGTGAGACCATATCCTGTTGCCAAAACACAGATTTAAAATGTAAGCACCATATTTGTCAATTGTCATGATTGTGTTCCAAAACAAAACATGTGAAACACAATGTGAAAAACGACTGAACTGAATAAGTTAAATGGATTAATTTAAGTTCAAGCTTATTGTGCCATACTGTACACACTTACACGAAATAAAGCTGTATCTCCTCATAACACAAGGCAAAGTGTTATCTCCTCTCATCTCATGCAGTTTATGGTGAATGCTGGGTGCATGTTTTTTTGTTATTATGTCTGCAGCATGTACAAACAGCCTCTCATCACATTCGTCACCCTAGGCATTTTGCTGATGCTATGATTCAGTGTGACTAACATGACGATCCAGCGTGACTCATCAGCAGCGTATGTGGCTTTTGAGGACTCTTAAGCTGCACGTCTGTGTGTGTCCACCTCATCTGCCACTCTGAAGCCACTGACATGGAAAAAGACTCACCTGGCAGCTGCAACAAGTACTTGTATGGTTCCAGCAGAATTCGCTCCGAGGCAGCTTCCGAGTTACCATCCATTGCTTCAAGTTTATACAAATCTATATTGGAGGACAAAGAACACAAGTGTAAAGAAAACCAAAACACAATTGTTGAAGACTGTCACAAGATAAATACATTTTTTTACAGCCTCATAGAACTTTTATAACAAAATAAAAGTCAAAATAAACATGTTTGTTTTGAATAAATGCCCCTTTAATTGTTCTAAATAGGGAGAAACACTTAATTTATTAGTTTGCATGAGACAACTGACTGGTTCATGGAAAATGAAAAAAGCAAGGGTGGTATTTCAGTTTCAGCCATCTGGAACTTACAAAATGGAAAACAACAATAGTCCTAGTTTTTGTTCTTGTGTTAATCTCTCAAGACTTGGGATGTGAATTTTTGAAATGGATACATTCTTTCATACCAATATTACAGACTATTGCACACAAAATAATTCATGAAGCCACATGTGTTCTGTTTTGCATTTCGTTGTACAATAAATAGTTACTTTCTAAACATTTGAGCCATCGAGCAATTGACACCCCCACTTTCTAAAAATAGGAGATTATTATTACTTTAGAGATTACAGGTGACCTGGTGTAGCAACAGTTTCAAGCTACAAAAGTCAGTCATCCCTCTGATGATTAGGTTGAGCTGGCTTACATAAATAATAGTGACATCACTGAGCTCTAGTTAAAAGGCTTGGTGTCTGCAATCACAGAGTAAACAGAAGTAGTGAAGATATGTATAATTCTAATTCGTGATGCTTGCAGCGTGTTCATGTTGGATTGCTTGTATCTGTAATTTCTCAGCACCAAACTCGAAGCTGGCTCTTAACTAACAGAGTGGGGAACCAGTGTTGAGCAGACAGAGCTGTAGTCGAGGAAACTGCAGAAAGAAGTGTGTTGAAATGACAAGAACGTTGTCAGCCCCGAAGGCCATCTTAGTGTAACTGACATCAGATACATAACTGCAAAAGCCGCCACCCACTTGGCAGCATAATACACAGGAACTGTGGGAGTGATACTTTTACCCACTTATTGTACTTTTCCTTTAAATAAGCAAATAATTGAATCACAGGAAATGAAATTGAATCACAGGAAATGAAACGAGAAATGCAAAACGAACCTCTCTAACTCATCTAAACCAGAAAATGAAGGTTTTTGGCAAATCTGATTAATATTTTCATGATGTACTGCACAGCGTGTCCAACGCATTTGAAGAGCCGTGAAATCCCCTTGGTGCATGGTTACACACTGACAACATGATGGGATAAGTTAAAACAATCACATTACTGTTGAATCACAGAAACCAGTGATGTAGCAACAAAAGTAGAAAGGCTGGGCTGCCTGTGACCATCATAACAAAAATCCTTCACGATCATTCAAAAAAAATGACTGTGCAGCAGTGTACGTTTCATTTCATAAAAAGGCCCAGACTACATAACTTACATCCAGGTTATATTATATTAGGAAGACTTGATATCTTGTCAGGTGTTATTTAGTCATCATTACTTTTCAAAAGCTGATACTGTGGCATGTAGATGAGTTACTAGTTTAATAGGTACAAATGTACCTATCTAACAAACACAGCCCTGAAATACACATAATAAAACTTGTAATTCAGTGTTCAGTATAGTAATATAGCATAATTTCACTTTAATTGCACACTTAATATCATTTGGTGGGAAGAGATAAACAAATCTATTATACGCATGTATCCTCAGATCATCTTTAACAAGTGCTTAACTACAATATTTACAATCTAATTTCCTATTAACATATGAGTTTTACTTTAAAACACAAGCAGCTACTCCATACGTATACTTGTAAAAATGTTATGATGACATTGAGACAAAAAGCCAAAAGTAGAGTAAGTAAAGTATTGTAGGAGGGACAGGTTTCTGAAAAATATAGGTTTTCCCACCATGTTAACAATGTGCATTCCTTTAAGTGAGAACAGCGACAATATTAATTACACATTGACCCAAATGACACATACACAGCAAAGCTTTAAATCTAAAACGCTGCTGTGATATTTAGCCTTTACTTCAGGTCACGTCTAGTGTTTTTAACTCCACCCACCTTGGCCGATGTCTGACAGTCTGCTGACGCCAACGGTTCCTGTTAGCCAGGCTGCTATATTGCTAGCGTTGGCAGGCTAACATAAAAGCGCCGGTATACCACCGTTGAGCAGTTCTTTCTTTCTTTTATGAAATAAAAACTTCCACTTTAACGCTGGTCGACTAAGGCACACGATGTGTCTGCCACATACACACTTTCATACCGCGTTAGGTCCGTGTGTAACTGGCCAATTCACCAGATGCTATGTTAACCTAGGACAGTTTCATCAACGCTCAATACAGACACTTTTCAAATCAAGCTAGGTCTGTTGAGCTACCTATATATGCTTCGACTTCGCTACAGAGCAGGCGCAGAGTAGGTGGGGAATGTAACATGGGTGCCTCGTATATTGTGTGTGTTACATTTAGCTTTCTACATTGCCCGGTTAAAGCGTTCAACTGTAAGAAGATCAGAAAAACACACCTCCGCCTTGTCGGGCCAGTCCATGATACATATCGAGCGCTCACATATGTTCCAAAACTGGGAGTTGTAGTTTTTTTCGTATCCTTCTCTCTGTTGTAAAAGCCGCCCAGTCGTACGCTTCATCGCGGATATTTTTCTCCTGGATCAGCCAATCGTGTGCTGATTGGGCGTTTCTCGTCACAGTGCCATCCAGTGGGCGAGCGTGTTTTCGGAAGAGGCGGGTCGACGTGCCCGTCAATCATCCTCAGGAGGAGGGGGAGAGGATCGCAGAAAGAGCTAGGCTAGAGGAGCTACTCAACAAGGCAAACAGCAGCGCTCTGCGAAAACCACTTTTACCCATCCGCATCCAACATCAACCGGGGGCCAACGGACGACGTTAAAACCTGTCAGATGTCTCACGTAAATGTTCCGATGGATTACTAATACACTTTCGTTGTAAAACACAAGTCTTTCTCAACTTGACAGCATAGGTAAGCCTCCTTTTGTTCGACAAAGCCATCGCTATTTTGAACATTTTTACTAGCCTGCTTCCCTGCTGCTACCAAGCCAACCCCGACGTTAGCTAACTTGTTAACTAACGCTGCGATGTGTTTAGGGGGGTTAGGGAATGAATGAATTAGGCGACTGGACAGCGAAAAGCTGACGGCCGAGAATACAGAAAAAAACTTGGGTCAGCTCGATAACAAAGTTATGCTGTAGCCAGCCAAATTAAGCTGATGAGCACAGCGATATGCTAACGTTACTCCGGGCTCGAATAGTTTGAAGCCTGCTGGACAGGAGTGTTGTGTTGTTGAGCGGAGGAATCCTCGGAGAGGCTGTCGTCGAGGTGCGCCTGTGGTGTTCCCTAATAGCCGTCAAAAGTGAGATTACACGAAACCATCGGCGACCTGTTTACGCTTGACATCGCTGCGGGATGTGATTTGTCGACAAGCGACTCAACGGTGTAATTTAACAGGTAAATTACACTGTCAGGCTTTTCTTTTGTGTCACCAGGATCGTAAGCTTCTCACGATTGACTAGTCCGGTGTAGGCTGGACTAGTGTTATCCGTGTTATCAAGGAACTCACCCGTTTGATCAATAAAGCGAGGTGGACTATTTTCCCTCTGCTACAGAGCACTTGTGTTATTCACAATGCTGTGTGTGCGTGACCAGTATTTTGCACATTTCCGTAACTGGCAACATCCCCGCTGACAAACTGACTGTATCATTACAAGCAGAGCTTTAAATGGGCTTGACGCTTTAGTTACCACACGGTACCAGATCTTAGGACCGCGGAGAAAAAAAGAGTGCCGTGGCTCGGGCAGTGTGTGCATTATTGTTGGTGGTGGTCAGTCACTCACTTGCAGCGGCTGGTCTGGCAAATCGTCTGGGGCGGATGACATTGTATCCTCCGCGACCACGAGCCACCCATGAGGACTGCGACCTTGGCGTGCGTTATAACAATAAAATGTTGTAGGTATTAATACGATGTTGCTGCGTTACAAGTCCTGCCCGAGCTTGACCTTGTTGCGAACCGTTTCGTCGACTTGTTTCTTTGTCAGAAGCAACCTCACTCAACGCTACTCCGCGAACAGTCAGCGAAATGCCAGACCAGTCGATGAAGGGAACATTTTGTGAAGAAAGAAAGTGACTTTTAATGGTGCTGCACGGCCCATTCTCACTTTGTCCAACTTGACGCTGTTATTGCGACACAGCTGTGATATGACATTTGTATGAAGGTCTGGGGGGTGGGGGGGGGGGTGGTGTTGCCTGCCCATAAGCAGTGTTATTATCGCTCTATTTTTTGCTGTCGAGTGGACTCTGCGCAGAGAGCAGCGCACCGACACAAGGGAGAGAAGCGAAAACGAAAATGCACGGTGTCGGGGCGGTTTTTCTCTAAAAACCAAGAGATTCGTCTCCGTGAAAGGCATGGCTCTGACAGGGGCAGGTGAATTGCGACCACCGGTTACCGCAATTTCCAGTGTTTGTGCGCTGAAGTGTTTTCCTTTTTAGCCGTCTGTCAGCTACAGAAATGGCGTCATCCTCTGCTGTAGTGTTGGGATAGTCAGTGCAGTGCAGACAGCAGGCACACCACGCTGCCGTACTCAAAGAACCGAGCACCGTGCGGCGTTTACTGTGTTATCACTTTATCCCAAAGCACTTCATTATCCATGCATTTGTCTAGACCGAAGAAGGATGTCGTCTCCTTGGCCAAGCGACGAGTTACGTTGTGTTTGCTCGCCCTTTGTAGCCACAAGCCAAGTCTGCCTGCTGCTGGCTGACTGACTGACTGACTGACTACAGCGCACTGGGCATTACATAAACGGCTTTAAAGGCTCTGCGAATGAGAGTGATCAGCACTGCCACGGTTTTGACTTTGCAACACAGATATTTTTGGAGAATGTGGTTCGAAATCTCGGGCGCACATACCATCACCCCATGGTATTGCTTGGGATTATTTAAGCAAAGCATATTTAAACTTTTCTTAAATCTATTGGATTCAGAATGAAACCCGCTGTCCCTACAATAAGATTTCATGTGCAGGCGATGTGTTTTTCTAAGTCATGTACAGTGTGTGTCTGCCGCCCAGCTTTTTCAGGGCATCCAGCAGTGTAGCAGAAGAAGTGATGTCATCATAACACAACAGTGTCTTGTTGTGTCAGACTTGAAGTTGGCACTGTCAGTAATGCCTAACAGCTTCTCCAACCTCTGTTTTCAGCCTCAGCTTCCTTACACTGGTCACCTAGAGGACTCATAGAGAGATGAAGGTATGTTCATTCATTTTTCTTGCATGTGGTTAATGTTACTGTCACTACTCTTCTGCATTACCTACCGGGGCTTGTTTTCATTTAACTGCTGGACAAACATGGCCTTACCAGGCAAATCAAACACACAATGTTGAATGTGTATTTCATATTCATGGCTTCATCTTTCCTTCTCATAAGGCTAGTGTGAACTTTTACTAAATGTCAATTTTGCTTTTGTTCAAACACAGCCAGGCAAATATATCGGGACGCAGGCCAAAATAATATGTTTATTTGATAAGCATGATATTGAGTTTCCAGTGGCTTCAGCTGTATTTGTGAACACAAATGGGGAACTGTAATTTTGATGTTATGCTTTGTTGTGCAATGTTTATTGAATGAAATGCTGAGATGGGGCCTGGGCATGTAGTAATATGTGAATTTCATTTAAAAAACTGCTTTATAGAAAGTGTCTCATCTGAATACATCATAAATGTATGGGGCATAATAATACACGAATAGCTGAATAAATTAGTGGTGAAATTTTGATAATATTGAAAAAGGCATTTCTTTCTCTGAACCTCAATTTGAAAGAGTCACAGCTGTCATAGTTTTCAGGAAATAGGCTGTGATTGTGGGATTTAATTTTATAGTTTCAGTGGATTGTAGTTGTGGCTGTTGTTATACCTATGGGGGGGGAGCAAAGCAAGTGGAAGATGTGAGCATTTTGATTGGAGAGTTAGTGGTGGACAAATTAAAAGCTGCTCTAGTAATATACTGTAGTCTGGCCCTAATGATGCTATGCTTGTTGTGGTTAATAAAACTATACCACCGCGCTCACTAGTAGATTTGTTAACAGTCTACCAAAGTATCCAATTAAAATGCAACCAAAAGCATCATGTGATGTGGAAATGGTTCCCAGCATTCATTCATTGAATGTTGTCAAAACCATGGGAGAAGGAACTCATTCTGTTACAGAGCTTTACATTTCCTCATAACTATTTCTGCTGCCTGTATGCATACTAGTCCTACTAGTAGTGCTGACATGAACATGCCTGATGATTTGTGGTTATGTAATGAACTGTTTGTGTCTGAGGAAGACAATCGGCTCCTGATTGCCATGACTACAAATGCATTTCTAATCAGTTTTTCGTTAATGTGCGCGGTTCGTGCAAGTGGATCAGATATATATATAAAATGAATTGTGATGGTTCACTCCTTAGCTACGTGAAGCAGTTGTGTTTAATACTTTTTTACCAGCAATGCATTGCTAGACTTTTTTTGTTGCCCTTGGCAATCCTTATATTTGAGCCCTGCGAGTGTCTAATAAAGCTTAATATGTGAAAATTACTTCTTGTTGCCAGCAGTTATTTTCTCAGGCTGGATAGCAGTAGCCTCTTATTAGATGATTGTTATGCTTATACTTGCTTATTTTCATAACTGCTGACTGGAGTGATGTTTTCACATTGACTTTTCTGGTTTAGTATTGTAGACTTTGTTGTTTTCATGGTGTTCATCCGGCTGTATTAATGCTTGAGGAGTGCTCACTTGTTTTACTGCTCTGTATAGCAGGAGCATCTGCTCAATGCTTTAACGGTGAATCGCTCTGTAACTGGGACAACTTTTCATTATGTTTGTTTAGCATTTAGCATTTCGTGTCACTTTGGCTTATGGTCGACAGCCTTTCTTCATCAACTGCACCCACGGCTTTAACACTGTTCATCCTCAAAGTGGAGTAATGTGTTGGATAATTGTTTAAATTCTTCATTATTATCTGATTGTTTAGTAATAAACTTAAATCTGCTAACATCCTGTAAATGCCTTTGCTTATAGTCCTTGTTCAAGCTAAAGCATTATGTATTATGTACTACCTAGATTACACTTTGTAACCTAGACTAGATTTAACGTCATTAAACATTTTACCATTTCATATTCATGGTCTCATACTGTCCATGCCATCCATCCAGTCCATCAATTCATTAATAACATAACATCGTCTATATGCATGTAACTACCGGTATGTGCTAAGACAGTGGTACTTCTAAAGAATCCCCAGAACTTTACCTTACACTAAAACAACCAAAACACTTGCCTATAACGTAGGGTTGAACAATTAATCCAAATATTATCGACACTGCAAAAACCAAATTGTAGGAGCTACACTTTTCTGATAAAGTTAAAATGTAATTTGATTCCACTGTCCTGCGATGGACTGACGACCTGTCCAGTGTGTACCCCGCCTTTCACCCGATGTCAGCTGGGATTGGCTCCAGCCCCCCATGACCCTGTATGCAGGATAAGCGGTTGACAATGGATGGATGGATGGATGATTCCACTATTCTACTATTATCGTGACTCCCCATATGACAATGGTACAGTCAGTAGACAATGGACAAACTTCTAAGCTGAATTCTTATTTGAGGTACACCATTGTTGCCTTGGGTCCCCCGTTTTTGTTTTCTTTAGTTTTTTCCCCGGTTGGAAGTCGTTTTTATTTGTATTGAAAAAAAAAAAAAATATAAGTCACAAAAAGATAAAGTTAAAATGTGTCGCAACATACCATTATGAATGAAGCATTGTGGTGCTAGAGAAGCCCTGGTCTACAAATCATGTTCTTCTGATGTAAGGGAACATGCCTGTTTGGTAGTCACTTCTGACAAACTGTGCCCCACTCTCGCTTAAACACCAGTCATGTTCTGAAATCTACAGCATAACCAAGTGTTTCTCAATGGGGGCGGCACCGCTGCCCAGGGGGCGTTCAGAAGATGAAGGGGGTGCTGGAAGCAATATTTTGGAAAAGGAGGCGTTTGTTGAGGCGAGTTTACACAAAATATTCACAGCAATAAGAGTTTAAACTTTCAACTACTTGGGGGAAAAACTGTGGTGTGCAACATTAAAACCTGCCAATTTAGTCCAGTGCGACTTGCGAGACGGTGTGTATCGTAACTCTTCATCTCTTCAATGTTTCTGTCAGCTCCTTGTGGCGCAGCTCCGTGCTGCCTTCATGGACATGGGAAGTCAGAGGATGATCTGTAAACTGTACTATGTAAACTATGGAAAATGGACGCCCTGTTTCTTGTTTCTTGTTTTACCGTGGTAAAGCTTTAATTTATCTAAAAAATACACCATGAATGCCTTGTTATCGCAGTGGTTACACATTTATAAGAGGGATATTCCGCTGTCGGACTTCCCCTGAAAGCAACTTCGTCCAGCGCCCAGCACCTGATGCGACACCAGCGAGTGCCGTAAAGTGGACCCAACTTCAACCCTGTGAGTTTATTCCTAAGCAGTAATGTGACTTGTAGAGTTTTAATAGTCTATAAAAATGTAACCTCAAAAACTGAGGCGAAGCCTTGCTCTGTTTGGGACTGTCAGCTGCACTTTATCATAGCTGCTTAAGTTGTGTGAATTTGTGGTGAGGTTTCTGTCTGATCACAGGTGTTGTCGGTTAGTTTCATTTGGTAAAAAGGTGCCACAATCACATTTAAAGAGGTTATTTCCCCAAACAAAAGAGACAGAAGACGAAGGAAGACTAAATCATGTATGTTGACTCAGCAGGGATGATATTAAATAAGTTGATCTACAGGAGAAACATTTTAAAATCAAATAAGAATGCCCGAGAGCCTCACTGCATTCATTATATTCTATTATATTTATATTTTTTTAATTGTCACCTGCCACCTGAATTTTGTGTTTCCTTTAATATAAATAAAAACATCTCCACCAGATTGGTGCAGAAATTTTCACCAGAATGCAGGAAATTAAGTCTTTAATGCTCAAAATCTTCTCCCCAGACCACTTCCAAGAAAACAGTCTCTGGGTTCACACACATTTTCTGGGAGGACAGTTAATTTTAGATTAAATATAATTGCTATTTACATACCTTTCTTCTTTCCTGGGAAAGTACTAAATCTGTAGTTTGCCATTCAATTATGTGCTTTTTTTGTGTTTTTTAAAATAATAATAGTAACAACAAACAATAATAATAATAATAATAATCAACAATATTTAGGGCAAATGGCCAACATCTTTTTTTGATGGGAGGGGCGGTGAGGGACCTGGATAATGGATAGGGGGGTGCTGGCCCAAAAAGGGTTGAGAACCACTGGTGTAACCCAATGTATTTTTCTGTCATTCATTACTAAAATTCCTTCTAAAACAGCAAGTTATTGGCAAAATTAACCATGTATATTATATTGTACTCTGCATGGAATAATGGAATTAAACATTTTCTTTGTTTTGACATCGGTATCATATATCAGCCATCGGCCGCCCTGCTCTCCAAATATGGGCATCAGCCATTGAAAACCCCATATTGGTCGACCACAAATTTAAACCAGTATGAATATTACTTGTTTAAAAGAGGCATCTAGGCCAACCTCAGGCACACAGAGAGAGAGAGAGAGAGAGAGAAAGAAAGCCCTATATCAGTAGCGGTAGCCTACCTTAGAAAGGATGAATGCCAAAGGTTACTGTAGTTATTTCAACTTGGATTCATTATTTTGATCTAACAATGTGTAGCATGTCCATATAGACATTTATTTGTATGTGCGATCTAAGCAGCTTAGATCTTGTTCAAGTGGGCGACCCAGCTGGCTTTAAGAGGTTTTATACATCCAAAGAACTTTGATTAAAAACCAGACCTGGCATCTAATTACATTAATTTATTAGAACGTGTAGCTACACACAACGTGTAAAAGGGGACAGGTGTCTAATTGGGACCATAGTTAAAGCGCCGCTCCATCTATTTTACACATGAAGTTTAGTTTCCTCATCATGAGGCTTATTACTCTGCCTATAAAAAATGTTGCATGATGTCTTCTGTGGCTCTGGAGTAAAACTAACCCAGATGATGTCACCGGTGGTTACCTCAGTTTGGGCTTCATATTTAGGCTTTTTGACATAAAGATTGCATTGCAAACTGGTGGTGTGGGGTTTGTAAGAAGTGGGCATTTAGGAGGAGGCCAGGAGGTTTCATTAAATATGCTTTATGGGACATGAAGCCTCTGCTGCTTCAATTATGA